TCAGTGATGAAGGGGACCACACAAATTTCAGTAACTGAGCATTCCCAGGTCCCATTGTGAGGCTGAGCAGTCTCCCCAGCCTGTGTGCTCAGTTCTTCACCCCCCTCCCCAGCTCCCGATGACAGCAGCCTCCAGCCACTCCTCAAGCATGTGCAGGGCAGCTCAGGCAGACTTAAGAAGAGAAGTCAGGTATAGTCTATGTCTGCATATACCTTCCTGCCACAGGGCTTCACCAAACGGCAGGATCCCCAGGCCCTTGTTCCTCTCACTTCCTGATCCCTCGCAGGGTCAGTGAAAGGGCGGGCAGAGATGGCCTGCAGGGGGTGGGTGTGTTATGATGGAAAGACCACACCAAACCCGTGAAGAATGGCACCTTTCTCCACATTGCGAGACAAACCTCCTTGAGGTCAAAGGTCTTTAAGGTCAGACACAGATCTAAGCTGTGGCCACGAGAGGATGTTCACCTCCTTGCCCTGGGGTTGGGAGACACTCTGGCTGAGGAAAAGTGTGTGCCAGACAAGGCCAACTCTGTTTACAACAGTCTGAAGCAAACTTGGCCTTGGCCTTGGCCTTGGGGTTCCGAGGGAAGAGCAGGGTGGCCTGGCGAGATGACAGCAAGCAGAACAAGGACAGTGGCAACAGTGTGCAGACAATATAGGATATCAGCTTGAGACGATGAGACAGCAGGCTGTCCTAGGCACAGCTCCGGTTGAGCTGCCCCCAACTCTCTTGCCTCCAGGCAGGAGGCCCCATACATGCAACTCAGTCCCGAAGAAAATTGTAGTTAATCCAAGCCCAGGGACATCCCAAGCAGGCAGAGCTCTTCTGAGGCTCAAGGAGGAAAACAGGCATTTGGGCATTAGTTCAGGATCCAGCTCCACAATAAGGCAACTTTTAAAAAAAAGTATTATTTGCAAAAACAGAAGAGAAGAAAAATTTCAAGGACAGGGAAAGACATTACTCTCTGTGGATTAGATGGGTTCTGGCTTTTTTGGTTTTTTTTTTTTTGTCTCTTTTTAGTGGTCGATTTTTGTCTTTTATTCCTTTTTTTGTTTTTGTTTTTGTTGTTTTGTTTTGTTTCTGTTTTCTCAAAGATGGAAAGGTCAGAGGAAAAAAAATAAAATGAATCATCTTTCAATAGTCTCTTCTGGTGTGAGCAGTGTCTCTGGGCTGGGGAGGGGGAGGGGGGAAAGGCTAGAACTCCCCAACCCCCACTCTGAGATACTTTGGTTTCCTTCCCCTAGAGGTGGCAGAAGGGTATGTGAAACAGCAGGGGACAGGGTGATGGCAAACCCCAGTTGATCAAGGGGCTGGTGCTTCTGGGGCCCATGGGCACCACCAGAGCCTTCTGGTGGGCTAGCATTAAAGGTGTGCACCACCACTTTGAAGGGGGCTGAATTTTTTATTCAAGGCACATAGACTAAGATTATACCTTTTCTCTATAAATACATAAATCTGACTTTGATACATAAATCTGACTTTGATACATAAATATGACTTGAATAAAAAATAAAAAATATAATTAATTTTCCATCAGATAAAAGCAATGGTGTTTCTAAAAGTACTATGCTAAGATCATATTTTCTGTAAGTTTTTCAAATTTGTGATTATAAAAGTCTATAATTGACAGAAAACTTATAATAAATAACACATTGATTGCTTTCCTCATAATGACTTTAATATTGATTTAATAATTGGGACTAATGTTTAGCAATTATTTAATTATTAGAATGATACGTAACAACAGTAAGGATTAACCAGAGCTGAGTGCACTATATGAAACTAAAGTTGCTTAGACATAAATAAAGGAATATTTCCCACTTACCACAACCCGCTTCTCTAGCTTTGGTAAAGTTCCAATAAATATAAATTAAGTCAATTTTAAAAAGTTTCCTAATATATCAAAGTTTATAACTCAGACTACCTAGAACAATGCAAATAATGTGTTTTCTTGGATATTACATATCTTCAATGAATAAATTATATTTTAAAATACCCTTCCTATATCATCACTCTCCCCCTTCAGTATCCTCATTGCTCAATTGGAAGTAGATAAGAGTAGTGATCATTATGAGCCTCATTCTATAATCCAGTTATAATTTATAGCTATAAAAAGGCTGGGAAACTAGTCTGATTAAAATTTTCTTTCTTAGGACTTAAATAAAGATATGGCAATTGGTAATTCAACCTGCCCTCTAAGTAGCCAATGTAGCCTGAGATGGCATGGTTTACATATCCCATTAAAATAAAAATGCAAGCAAGCAGCAAATTCAAACATTTTAGTTGATTGGATTTTAACTGTTCTCAATACCATAATACACAAACAATATTTTTAATTGAATTAAACCTTATTTTTCTCCTTTCTGTTCTCTTTTTTTCATTGTGTACTAGAAATTGAACCCAGGGCTTCTTACATGGTAGGCAAGTATTGTATTACTGAGCTACATCCCTAGCCCATGAACTGTTATCTTTGCTAGTAGGAGTCATTTACACTATTCTTAAGAATTTAATTAAAACACTTTATATATAAATATGCAAAAGCCTCTAGTATTTGAAATAATTAGCCTTGAGTCTTTGGTCATTTACCATCTTCCCCCTTAAAAAACCTATAATTTTAGTTACAACATATCATAGTATAATCATTAGTTGCAGATCATTTTTTGTTTATCAGTTTATTCCCTCTCAACAAAATTAGTATCACTGTTCTTGAACTTTCTAAATATAACTTATGGGTTACATACAGAATGTAAGTTTCTTCTTTTGTTTTAATAAGTGTCACTGCTATGGTTTGGGATAAAGAACACTCCTTTAATGACCTGAAAGGGTATAATCTTATCTCTAAACTGCTTTCCTTCCTCTGTGCTTCCTGGGTACCATGAAATGAGCAGCACTCGCTTACCATGCCCTTTGGTTTCTATGTTCACATGTCATTACAGACAGAGAGGCATATAGAAACAGATGTCAATGGACTAAAATTTCAGAAAGTGTGAGCCAAAATAAACATTTTATCATTTAACTTGTTTATTTTGACTATTTTCTTACAGTGACAAAGTTGATTAATACAAGCAGTTAACAAAAATAAATATTATATAAGAAACTAACATAACAGATACTGAGGCCCATACAGGTTTTGGCAAGTAAAGGGGTATGCCAAAACTGAGTTATCATTAAAAGACAGATAGATGTCCTCATTCCAGTTGAACAAAGCATATAGTGCTCTTCATTGTGTTATATTATCATTGTTCCACTTGTGAAAATACTGTCATATAAATGTTAAATTATTGGTTTTATATTTTAAGCCACCCCAATTGAAAAATTAATAAATGGGCTGTAAACCCCATTGATTTGCATTTAATATGCTGAATACACATATTCAGGTTCATTCATTTTTATAAAAGCAGACATATATAATTTGGGAATAGAATAATGTTTGGCAAAAACTGGGGAAACACAGGTTAATCAGTGGATACTAAAATAAAAATTTATGCTGCTCTAGTGCATAGTATGATGACCACCAACCAAAATTACACTGTGTTTTAATAAGCTAGAATGAAAATACATTTTTACTACAAGCAAAGTATATAGAGATAAATATTTGTCTTAATTTAAACATTACTTAATATATACATGTGCTAAACCCTTATCTCATACCCTATATGTATACATAATATGTATGTATCCTATATCAGCTTTAGTTTTTTTTTTTTTTGGTTTTATGAGACAGGGTTTCTCTGTATTGTTTTTGGAGGCTGTCGGTCCAGCCCGGCCTCGAACTCACAGAGATCTGCCTGCCTCTGCCTCCCGAGTGCTGGGATTAAAGGCGTGCACCACCACTGCCCGGCCTCAGCTTTAGTTTTAAAAATATCTAAAATATTAATAAAAAGAGAATTGTCAAAAACACACAAAATCTTTTTCAAAGCCAGTTTTAAAATTTGCTTACAGACTACATAAAGGATGTCCCAATTCATGTCATAAGATATGTCTATTTGTGTTGAATAGAGTATTATTATTCAGATACCGACCACACTTAAATTGTTTGTGTGTTTAATGTCTTACCTGGTGGAAAGGTCCTGCAGTCAGCAGATTGAGAAAAGCTTAGCTCTTATACTGGGCATGGTAAGATACTCAGTGAGGACTGACAACACTCATATTGTCATCCACGTGAGATGCCGTAAAAAACCTCTTGTCTGTTTTCTGTTGTGAAACGTATCAGGAATGGCTACTGAATTCAGGCTTTTAATTTCATAGTCGGGACTCAATAAAATGAAATTCAGGATCTGAGGCAGGTGGACTCTGCTCATGAGAGTGAAAAATTCAAGCCACAGTGAAAAGGCAAAGAAAAAAACTACTAGATTTCTGGGATGCACCAGCCCTCGGGACAATGGTTGATTGACAGAGGCCCCGCCTACTTCTGTCTGCGCCTGCGTGGTTGCTTTTAAAGGACTTTGTGGGCGTGACCGGAAATGGACCACCGTAATATCCGCTTTTCTTCAACGGCCGTTATTTTCGGGCTTTCTTCGTCGCCAGTGAAACCTTCCGGAAGCTAACTTGAGCGTCCGTCTGGTGAGGTATTATAGGAACGTCCGTGTGTCAAGGTATATTCTTCTGGAATATTCTTCCCACAGACCAGAGTTTTTCCCAAAGAGACCTGTTCCAAATTATTCTATCCTACCCCTGTTATTTAATTCGGGCGTCTCCAAATTCGGTGGTTGTGCCCCAGTGCTTCCACTCGTGAATTGGGGACGCAAAGTGGATAGAAAGAGACAACCTTTAGCAAAGGGAAGAGAGTTAATATTGCGAGTTGGAATTGAGTTGACAAGGTCTAAATCCCATCTTTCCTTTTGGGTTCCTAAGTCAGTAAAAGGGAACCAGGCAGCACGGGGGCCATTCACGGAATAAAGAACGGTAGGATCTACCAGCGGAGATTGTACAAATTATCTCATCCTCTGTTTTCCAGGGTGACCTCTTCCTTAACCTGTGTGCAGTACTATCTGTGTTTCCCCACTACAGTCATCATGCCTCGTGGCCAGAAGAGCAAGCTCCGTGCCCGTGAGAAGCGCCGCCAGGCCCGTGCTAAAAATGCACTAGAGGAAGAAGGATCTCCCGATCCTTTATGTGAGTGTCCACATCAGGCTGTTCCTGATGCTGGTATGTCTACACCTCCCAACATACAGCAGGGAGCTCACTATACCTTTTCACACACATATGAAAATACAGGTGCTCAAAACCAAGATGAGAAAAATTCAGATGATTCTGATGACCTTGAAGCCTGGAGTAAAGATCCTATAAATCACAAAGTAGTCTTACTGGTGCAGTTCCTGATGGAGAAGTATCACAAGAAGGAGGTTTTTACTAAGGCAGATATGCTGAAGTGTGTACTTAAAACATCAAAAACTGCCTTCACTGAGATCCTAAAAAGAGCCACAGAGCATATGGAACTGGCCTTTGGTGTTGATCTGAAAGAAGTAGATCCTATCAGGCACTGCTATGCCCTTTTCAACAAACTAGAACATACCTTTGATGCCGTAAAGGGAGACGAAAAAATGCCCAATACTGGCCTATTAATGATGGTGTTGGGTGTGATCTTCAAGAAAAATAACTGTGCCTCAGAAAAGGAGGTCTGGGAGGTGCTGAATATGATGGGTGTCCATGCTAACCGAAAACACTTCATCTATGGAGAGCCTAAGAAAGTTATCACTGAAGATTTGGTAAAGCTAAAGTACTTGGAGTACCGAAAAGTGCCTAACAGCAATCCTCCATCCTTTGAATTCACATGGGGTTCCAGAGCCCAGGCTGAAATCAGCAAGATGAAGATCCTGGAGTTTTGGGCCAAGATCCACGATGCTACACCAGATACCTTTGTGCCCTTGTATGAAATAGCTGTGAAAGATGAGGAAGAAAGAGCTCAAGCCAGGTCTGCAGCCAGGGCTCGCACTGCTGCTATGGCCAGTTCACATTCGAAAGCCATGGTTAGCAGCTCCTCCCATGCTAAATAATAGCTAAGTATGTTTCCTCACTATTTGTAAAGGTCTGTCAGCTAACTAATAGTGGAGGGCTAATATGGGCTGAGGAGAACAAGTGCTTATAATATTTGTTTTTCTGTTATATATTAGTAAATTCCAGTTTTATCTTTTCTTTTAGTTCTAGGTTATATATTAAATGTTGAAGTCTGAGGAATGAATATTTCCTATGTGGAAATTAAGGAGAGTGAACATTTTAAGTAGTAGATGGGCAACATAGGTCTAAAGGGAGTACATTGAATAACATCATTGCATTCCTATGCCATATTTGTTACTTTAAGTTTTGTTTTGCTTTTTATATTATATTTCAGATGTTTCCATCAGGAGGCTTCGATACCTTTAAATGTAAAATTATTAATGACTTTGGTTATACATTTATTTCCCTTTCATAGTTTAAAGCTGTTGTGGGCAGTGAGTGATTTTTTTTAGGAGTGTGACCACTGGTGAGTTCTCCATGTTCCAGTGAATGAGCCCATACCTATGTCCATGTAGTAGCACTAACTGGACTTAAGATTTTTATTTTTAATGCATGAGAAGAAAGGGAGAAGTATATATCAGTTTGAATTTATCAGTCTGTTCACTCTTAGTGGGATTTTTGGCTCAGTGACTAAAATCTGGTTAAAAATGCAGTCAATGTAAAGTTAAATAACAATGAAATCGCAAAAATGGAAAAGAAAATAACAAGAAGGTGAATACTTAGATCTGGGTTTTCTTTATTTCACTTTGTTGTATACAAATAAAATATGTACTTTGAGTTGTTTATCTTAAGAATATAGGTGTTAATAAAGTATTTTAAACTGTAATTCATTTTCACCAGTTTATTCACTATCCAAAGTTAATTAGCATCTAGTCTGCAAAAGTCATTTTGTTAGAAATGGGACTTAAACCGGGCGGTGGTGGCGCACGCCTTTAATCCCAGCACTCGGGAGGCAGAGGCAGGCAGATCTCTGTGAGTTCGAGGCCAGGCTGGACCGATAGCCTCCGAAACAATACAGAGAAACCCTGTCTCGTAAAAACCAAAAAAAAAAAAAAAGAAATGGGACTTAAACATGCTGGGATAGAGAAAATTAATTTTTTCTCCAATAGAGTAACACTGGCTATATCAACCACTCCTGCACAGTCCTCATGTTCAGAAGTGGTTGAACAATATATAGTGGTTTCCACTGTTAGAAATATTGTTTGTTTTGTTTTGGTTTATGTGTGCATGTTTGTTTTCACGCATATGTGCACGTGCTTGCTTGCATGTGTGTATGTGTGCATGAGTGTGTGCGCGCGCACACGCGCACACATACTTTTATCTGGTTATTTTGATGTTTTTTGTTTTGTTTCTGGTGGGGTTTTATTTTGTTTTCTGGGTATTTTGGGGGTTGTTTTTTGCATTGTGTTTTTGTTTTTTGAGAAAGAACTTAAAGTTGGGTAAGTAAGGAGGAGGAGAGGAACCAGAAGGACTTGGTAGGGGTGATAATATGATCAAATATATTTAAATTGAAAAAAATGTTTTAAATAAAAATATTAAAAGAAGTAGGGAAAGTAAGATACAATTTCTGCAGCCTCTTTGCTTAGAATTTTCCAGTTAAATAACAATAAAAGTATGTGGAACAAAATGAAATGATTTTTAAAACCTAAGGACAAATAATAGGAAGGAATAAGGAGGTGAAAAGATAAGAAAGGATGCAGGAAAAGTGTTGGGGGACATGTAGCTGAAAATAATTAGACAAAAAATTATTAGAGGAAAGGCTTTGTGACTGCAAGACTCTCTGCAGTGATCTATAATTGGGCCTTCTCTGTGAGTGGGTTTCACATACATACATACATACATACATACATACATACATACATACATACATACAACTAAACACAGATAATGATATTCAGAAAAGTGCATCAGGTAGGTGTGACTCTCCCCATCATCTGGTGTTCAGGTGTCTGATCTGACCCTAGGCATCCTCACGGTGCTTGCTTGCATCAGGTGCCACATACATCAATCCACACCCTAACTGGTATAGGGACATGGACCTAGACATGGCCCTCCCTCAGCAGCATCCTGAACCTGGATGACACCATGGCACCAGGTGGTAGTGCAGTCTACCCACATATATATATATAGCCCCTACTGTGGAATGGCCCCCAGACTCTAAGCAAGTCTCAGGCTCTGTCCCAGATGTCAGGCCTCTATATTGGCTCCAGTGCCAACCTGGGACACAGACTTCAACACAGATCCCAGCTGGAGCTGGGTCATGTACCCAAACATGGCCTCAGGCAGCAGCTCAGCTCTGCCTAGTCAACATCCTAGCTCCAAGTGGTAGCCTGGGCCACTCAATTCAGGATGGCTTCAGTAGTAGCATGGCCCCTGAACACCAACAAGCTCAAAGGTTCTGGCCCAGATGCCAGGCTTCATGTGGCCTTTGGTGGCAACATGATTCCATGAACATCAACATAGACTTTGGCTGTGATAGGACCATCAACCCAGACATAGTCCTTGGCAACAGCCATGTCCTATTATCACCATGGCCCCAGTTGGCAAGTAGAACACCCCCTCAGTATACTTATCATCTTTATAAGCAAGGCCCCCACATCTGCCCACTCCTCACTGACTTCATTTATTACTTACTGTGTCCTTCCATAGTGCACAAACTCTATTATCTGTCTCTCCCATTTCTCCACCATATATTTCCTTATTGTAATAAGTTCCACATGCACAGCAACAGCTGTCTTCCCACCAGCTGAGGCCTTAAGGTTCCTAGCTGGCTAGTCTCCCATCTGAATGGATAGGTATCAGGCAGACATGGTGGCTGTGTTCCCATCATACAGGACCTTGAAAACCCTAGCCGGCTAACCCTATCTGAGAGGATAGGCCTCAGCCAGGGGTAGCTGTGTTCCTGCCAGCCAGAGTCTTGAGGACCCTGACTGCCTAGTCCCCTTCTGAGAAGATGGGCAGAAGGATGTGGTGGGAATCAGGCAGGTTTGGCTGTCTTCCCTGTCAGCTGGGACCTTCAGGATGTGACCAGATAAACCCCGACCCCTAGACACCTTCTGAGCAGACAAGCATCAGGCAGTGGGGTAGCTGTCTTCCTACCAGCCAGCACCTTGAGGATCCTGCAAGGCTAGTCCAAGTCTGAGTGAATGGGCATCAGACTGGGCTTGGAATCAGATGGGAATTACTGTCTTCCCACCAGCTCGGGCCTTGAAGACCCTGACTGGCTAGTCCCTGTCTGAGCAGATAGACCTCAGGCAGGGGTGGCTGTCTTCCCACCACCTGGCACCTTGAGGACCTTTGCCACCTTGTCCCCTTCTGAGTGGATAGGCATCAGGCAGGGGGAGCTATCTTCCTGCCATGTAGGACCTTGAGGACCCTGGCTGGCTAGTCCATTTCTGAACAGGCAGGCATCAGGCTGGAGTGGGAATCAGGTGGGGGTGACTGTCTTCCTGCCACCTGGGGCCTTGAGGACCCTGACTGCCTAATGTTCTGAGCAGATAGGCATCAGGTAGGGGTAGGAATCAGGCAGGGATGACTCTCTTCCCACCAGCAAGAACCTTGAGGACTCTGGCCTTCTAGTCCCCTGCTGAGCAGGTAGGCATCAGGCAAGGATAGCTGTCTTCCCACAAGCCAGGACCTATAAGACCATGCCAGGCTAGTCCCCATCTGAGTGGATAGGGCATCAGGCTGGGGTGGGAATCAGACATGGGTGGTTCTCTTCCCACTAGTTGGGGCCTGAGAACTCTGAAAAGCTAGTCCCTGTCTGAGTGGATAGATATCAGGTCAGGGTGACTGTCTTCCTGCCAGCTGAGGCCTTGAGGACCCAGTCAGGTTAGACCCTGTCTCCTCTTTGACAACTTAATTGCTTCATATTCATTACACACATTCCAAAAGCCCCTACAAAGATGACACATCAGATGTAATGATAGAACTTGAAATTTTCTTTCCTTTTTCTGTCTTAAACTATATTTGTATTGTCTTAATGCAGGGTCTCACTATATTACCTCTGCCATCCTAGAACTCACTAGGGTACATTGAGCTAGGCTGAAACATGTAAATCTTTTGCCTTCACCCACTAAGTACTGTTATTAGCAATGTATGCCATTATTCTAGTCAGAACTTCTTGTCTTTTCTTTTACAAATATTTTTATTGTTTGAGCATTTCATATACATGAATTTTTCATGTATATTATGTATAATGTATTTTGATCACACATAATCTTCTAACTCCTCTCAGACTGCCTTCACTGACTTCCCCCTTCTAACTTCATGTCCTCTTAATTATTTTTATAACCCTTTCAATCCAATTATTGTTACCTATGGGTGTAAGACAATCTACTGAAGCATGAGTGATATACCAGTGATGAGATACCCAAAGAAAATCAACTCTCTCTGAGAAGCTAGCAACTGAAATGCCCACCAACTTTATTGTATGTAGTAGGTCTGGTAAAGCCAGGCACAGCTGCTGGAGACGTTTTCTCATAGAAGTCCTTTCCAGCCTTGTCTAAACATTCTGTTTCTCTTTCTCAGTATTCTTTGAGCACTGGGGAGACGTGGTATGACACAGATTTCAAATTTAGACTAAGAACTGTCTCATAAAATTGGAATATAAAACTAAACAAACTTAATTCTCAAAAGCAAGTAATACAAGTAAAAGCTCTGAGGAGAATGTGAACCAATAGGAAGGTTCAGGTAGGATATTTTGGTTGATTAACTTTGTAAAAACTACAAGCATTTGTTAAGATATGAGTTTTTATGTTTTCATTATCACCAATTTTGAAAAAGGAATACAATTAGTATTCCATGGAGGAAACTAAATTTTCATTGACATGTAGTTATCCACAGTGACCGACTCTGTAACTCCAGTTACAGGGCATCCAATACCTTTTTACAGCTTCTGCAGGAACCAGGCGTGCATGCAGACACAACATTCTTGCACATGCAATACAAATTTAAAATTATTTTTAAAGGTACGTCTGTGCATCTGCTGAAATGACATTTCTAAAATTGTGAATATCCACATACTTATTAACTACTTTGAAGTATGTCATCAAATATAGCTATGATTCTACAGAATCTTGAAATTTATTTTTCCAGAGAAGTGTGAACAGATAAAGAAAGAACAAGGTATATGAGAAAATGGGATGAAAATGTTATATGGTTTCAGACAGAAGCCCTCCTATGCTCAGAAGGGACTGTATGACTCAGAAGAGTCTGGAAAAATTCAGGGCTGTGGAGAGAAAAAAAGCTTGAGCAATGTTTGATCAGAAAACATTTTCTTTTCATTGATCATCTGGGACAAGCAGTTTAGTTAATTATGTACAAAGCAAAGCAAAGTAAAAGAATATTGGGAGACTGGAGTTCTATTGCAGAGAAACAAGGAATATATCCTTGACCTTACTTAATTTATGTGAGCAAGAATGGCTCACTGCAGGAAGTGAAACAAAAAGTTGAGTCCAGGAAGATTTCTTTCTTTCTTTCTTTCTTTCTTTCTTTCTTTCTTTCTTTCTTTCTTTCTTTCTTTCTGATTCTTTTCTTTTTGATTTTTTTTTTGTGTCAGGGTTTCTTGTTGTAGCTTTGTATACCAGAACTCACAGAACTCCCTCTTCCTCTGCCTCCCTAGTGCTAGAATTAAAGACATGTGCCACCACAGCCCAGCCCAGGAAGATTTCTTAATCTTTACCGTTTTCCAGTATTTGAAGGCT